CAGCTCAGCTGCGTACTGCACTGAAACACCCGGCCTCCCCGTGTAGTTCCAGGAAATGAGTTTACTGTATCTGTGACAGCCATCGTGTTCACACAACCTTAGAGCAGCAGAACTCTTGGCGTGCGGTTTTCCACTGCGAGTATTAGCCGGGCAGGCCCACACTTACCTCGCCTGCAGCCATCCTGTGCTTGCTCCAGCCTGGCTCACCTCTCCCTGCCGGAGCCCCAAGGGTGCTGGGCTCCCTGTGGCTTCAACCTGGGGAGCAAACCTTTGCCTCGCATCCACCAAAATGGTGGGGCACTGGAGACTCCAAAATTCTCCTTCGAGGTGGAGAATGTTTTTAGGATCATTTTATCTAAATATGGCAATCCAAGGTTGTTTTTTTGAGCCACAAAGTATAAAAAATACTTTTCACTATGGTTTGGTTTGCTGCAGTGAGTAATGCAGTTTTCTTAGCTTGTTTGGGGTTTTTTAAAGCGGGAAAAGTAATAGTAAAATATTCATCACCTGGGAACCCAAAAGAGTTTCATTTTCTTATCCATCTCTGTGTTCCAATTTAGGCTTAAGCACGAGCTTAAGGCACGAGCCGGCTGCTCTGGGAGGTTGGATTACTCTATAGTACTTTTTTTCTTTTTTTTTTTTAAGTAACTTAAAGGAATGCCAAAGCAAACATAGTTTAAGAAAAAATAACCCTAAAAAGTAAATGGTGTAGTTTGTTGCCCTCCATATGGTTAGTTCTCTGAAGGTCGTAAAACAGGAGTCCTTTGGCGGGACAGCTGGATTTGTGTAGCGTATGCAGATTGTTATTTTGGCTTTAAGCCAGATCTACCTAATTTTTCCATTTTGCTTTTATGACGAGGAGAGGTGGTTAAGGTGACTTCAAGGGGCAGTTCAGTGATTTCATCCATATTTGTATTAAAGAGCCTTTTAAGAATATTTCAGATTAGAAACCAGCCTAAATAAAAATCAAGTGCAAAAGAACATGCAAAGGTCACTAGTTTTATCGAAAGGCTTAGCCTGCAGCCAGGCACAGCCCCAACTCATGCGATCTGACAACCAGTGCCTCACAACTATTGATACACTGGCGTTGCTGACGATTGTACTGCAAGAACCAACTGGAGCCAAAAAATCTACGTTGCTCCTGTAGCCTTCCAGAGTGTGTATGTTTCTATGTATACATCTATGGAGGTAGGTGGGTGCATAGAGCAAAGAATTGAATGTACGCAGGCATTCTCTATGCGATGATGACTGTGAATTCAGAGGAGGAGTACATATTGCTGTTTTCTTGCTGCCCACCATGAGGGTAGCATGCAGCACCTGGCTGGTGGGCTGCTGCCTGCCTGGCACACCACCAGTAAATTCCTCTTTGGCTGCTCCTGTCCCACACTGACCTTCCCCCAAGAAAACAGTCTACTGCTTTTCACCTTGTCATCATTGGCAGCATTCCTGGGCCATAACACAAGTGCCTCTCTCTGCTGGGAGGAGCAGCCACCAAAGGAAACTGGAGCTGTAAGAAGTGGCTTTTCCCGCTTAGAGTCCTGGAGGGACTGTATAAGTAAAGAGCTTTTGCAGCGAGGTAAATGGAGTTTTTTGTGACAGAAATAACCTATGTAAAATAAAAATGAAGTTGGCAAGCAGTATAAAGGCTTAAGCTTAATAAATGCAATATTTAGTAGTGTATATTTGCTGCTGAGTTTGTAAAGAAAACCAGGCTGCAAAGCTGGTGGGAGCTACCAGCTAAGCACCAGAAAGAGGAATGTCTTGAAGTGCTCAGTAATCATAAGGCAGCAGTTACCTTCTCACCCAAGGACAGACGGAGTACAGTGTCATTTCTGCATTGTAGTCATCTAATAGCCATCAATGGCAACTTGGACACGTGACCGATAATTTAAAAATGATGAGACGTTTGTTAGTCTATTGTAATGTATGGGTAACAGTTGTGTGAAAGAGACTAGGCTCTTGCGGAACCCAGTATTTCACCAGAAGTATTTCACACCATTCACTAGCTACACGTAGTGCTTTCTATGCTAATGTCTATTTTAAATGCAAGCATTTCATGATCCTTCCTCTACACTTTTTCTTAGCTAGCTAGCACGTTAAAGATACTTTTAATTTAGTTTTTGTATATTTTAATCATTTTTACTCCTATCTAAATAAAACTATACAAATTAATAAACTATGAACAGTCAGTAGTTACAGAGCATATACCACCATACAGCAGTGTAATTAAAGAACAAAGAACTCTGTGTACCAAATTGTTTCATTAGTTAGATATATGAGTAGAGACAGAGATTTCAGTGTAAAGAACTACAAAGTTTAGCATGAAAGGTCCATTTAATTACAGAGCAGCATGTTTTAACTGTTACCAACTAATGAAAACCATTCTTCCTTTAGAGAAGGAATTAAAAGTACAAATGCAAAACAGAATTAATCCTTCAAATAATTTTTGTGTGTGTTTTAGAACAGCATTAAGTTTAGTAAGCTAGTCAACCTATCCTCTGTAGCATATTCTTCCAGCAGTTCAAATTGCTGTAATTGGCAAGCAAAACTGAGAGGGAAAATACCTCTTTCAGCTGTAAGTCTTTTTCTTCTGCACCAGATGTGTGTGACGGAATGAAGTCAAATGAATATGAGAATGTCCGGCCCAGCAGCACTTGCTGTCTCATGCAGTATTATTAAAATGAATGGCTTTCATGGTTTTTTAGTTCAATTCCTTTACTCTGAAGAAGGAAAATGTGTGTCAGTTGTCTGAAAATTATAATGTGTTAATAGGTGTGGACACTCTAAGCTATATGAATATATATCTTCTAAAATGTGAAGAAAGCAGTTCAGGTTCACGTAGCTGTGCTCTACGACTCTCTTGTACTTTTCAAGATTTAAAATATTGCAAATACCAACTTTTTGTTTAAAGATCATTCCTCTTGTGTTTGCTAGCTGGGGTTACTCACCTTTTATTACCTCTTGAAACATATGGGTTTGTCTTTGCTTAAAATTCCTCATTTCCCTAAAAAGTTATTTTTTGTTATTTCTCTTGGATAAACATAGTGTTTGTGGAATCCCAAGAACAACTCACTTTTCCTACTAGGAACCATCAATCCATCCTTTAGCAGTATGCGTAAGTGATTGTGAAAACGTGTTTCACTGTAGAACTGCTAAGGATGTGTTTAGTTTTGCTGGCAGGTGCTTCAGAAGACCTGGGTTTGGACTACTCACATGAGAAACCCTGCCCATGATAAAATCCCATTTTGATTCAGGGACTCCCCCTGAAAGGGAGGGCGATCACTGCTGCTGGGATCCGGTTGGAAACATGAAATGTTCTTTGTTGCCTGCTTCCTCCTTGTAAGTTTTCTCTTTGCCGTGCTTCATGGCCCAACCCTTTTGAATTCCTCCAACTTGCAGAACTGTTGTTACAATAAGAATTAGGTTTCCATATCAAAATCCAGCTCTTCTTCACTGCAACAGTGCATCTATGTAGTCATGTAGCATATGAGGATTTCTGTTTGGCATTTGAGACTGTACAAATAGAGGATCTAAATATTAAGGAAAGAATGAGCAGCAGAAGCCAAGACATCCTGAAACAAAAAAATAAATACATCAGTTTTCCATGCAGACCTTGCTGTTGTAGCAAAGAGCAAGGAAGTGAAGTAAGGCCTGACCAGACTAAAATTAATCTATTGGGTTTAGAGTCATGGAAAATGGCATTAAGATGTCCCCTAGTCTTCCCTCAGGAGAGAATCAATGAATCTAGTCTTAAAATCCTCCAGAGACACAGCTTTTGTAACTTGCATGCTCCACTGCACTACCTATCTGTTCTTGCCATTATAAAGGTTTCTTACTAATGTCTCACTGACACCTGCTTGCTTCCATGCAAGCCCATTCATCTTGCTGTGTCTGGACACGGGTGTATTCTGAGGCTATTACAGTCATTTCCATAGGCATCACATTCTCTCAGAGTTACTGGGAAGCACTGAGCTTTCAGAAAACCTAATTATAAAGCTAGTACTTCATCAGTGTGACATTCACCTCTACTCCTACAGAAAGTTGCAGTTGTTAGGGGTGATACAGTGATGCCACAGATCAGTACTTCTAGCTTATTCTGTTCTCTTCTTCACAGTGCATGTTCAATTATATTTCTGTCTTGAAGAAAAAGGAAATACTTAGGATGCTCTGGCAGCTTATTACCATGTGTTAAAACAGCAAAACGATTGCCTTGAGATTTGGCTTTACACCTTGTACTAATCTCATTGGAGATTAATGTACTCCTCCAAAGAGGAGGCAGAGGCAATTCAGTATTTTTGCTTGTAACTCTAATTCATTATCAACAATAAGGGTGTTTTATTTCAGTTTACTGAAGCAAAAGTTGTCACGTAAAGAAAAACATACTGAAATATTCCAGTCCCAGGTCATGATAGGAAGATGAGTCTGCTTTAATGAACAGGTAAAAAAAGACAAGAATGTCATCAGGTACATTTGGTCCTGAGGAATCATGGTAATGCTAACAATGCTTTGGGGTTAGGTGGAGTTGGGTTGGTAAATACCTGTTTAGATTTGAGCAATAATAAAGCACCACTGAGACACAACACAGTATGCTACACAGGAAATAACTGATTAGTTCAGCTCAGCTGTGTACTGGATATATATTTCACATGCATTAGGCAAAATTTCCAAAGCTATGCAAGATTATGGGTTTCTCTGCATGTGGTTTATGTTCATAAATGGTATGACCTAATTTGCATGTTAACTGTTCATTGATGATTAAAATCCTTGGTGACATCACATAATGTCAAGTGCCATGTGTGAAGTAGCTGTATTTAAACATGCAAGTCTGACTTAAAACATCTGTATTTTTTCATCTCTTGTTAAAAGTAAATCTATTATTAGGGAGACAGCTTGAGCTCATTTGAATTAGTAATGTAGCAGAGCAATGCCTTAATCATTAAAAAAGTTTAGGTCTGGCCTCATTAATCAGCACCCACAACGTTGCTTGTTTTCTTTTACAGAACATAGGAAACTTGGCAATCTGACTGTGACAGTGAAAAAGACCGTCCCCTCTCCAGAAGCAATACAGATCCTCTACCAACGCATGAGATACGAATATGAGTTTTATTACTATGTCAAAGAACAGTTCCACCTGCTAAAGCGCAAGTTTGGACTGAAGTCTCATATCAGGAAACCACGTCCCAGACCTGAGTTCTTCATCCCTTCTCCCCTGGAAACAGAGGAACCGATAGATGATGAGGAAGAAGATGATGAAAAGTGGCTAGAGGATATCTATAAAAGGTGATGGATGGAAGACCTATCCTTTCTCTTCTGGTGACCCCTCCAGCTTTCTTAAGATTTTTTTTTAATTATTATTAAAAGTAATTCCTTAAGGAACTGAGTTAATGCGCAGCAGCATTTGAAATGAAACATTTGAGACCATTCCCACATGCTGGGCCACCAGGAGATACCTGGTTTTGCAGGTTTGATTCATCATATGGTGTTGGCTCTATAGCATAGTTGCTATAGCATGGTTCAAAGAGCAAAGTATCTACTGTCTATCACAAAATAACTTTTCGAGTATGCAGTAGTCCTCTAGGAACCTGCAAAACATTAAAGAATAGATTGGGCAGTCTTGAAAAGTGAATTTTACAGACTCTCATGTCTCTCCAGAAACAAGTCTTCATTGCATACCACTGCAGCATTAGCTACCAGCAGTGGGAACTACAGGTAGTGAGCCATTTGGGAGAGTACCTCTTTTTGCCCAGAACACACTGGTATCCCATTGCCGTGTCTGCGCACATCCAAGGATAACAGGCTCAGAAGGGGCCTAGATAATGGCTTCTGAATTACCCTGTGCATGAGGAGCGAGGCTACTAGTCTGAAAAATTAGTATTAGTGGAAATAAGGCAAGTTACAGAAACCAGATGTTTTTTGGTGAACCCTTCTTTTTCATAGAGCAAGAAAAAGTTACCAGGTCAGTGAATGCAAAGTGCAAGGCAGTTAACTAAACAGTAGAGTTTGGTTTCTGCAGCTGAGTATGTTTTTATTAGACTCTGAAAGAAAAGGTGCAGCATATCTTTTTCCTGTTCAGGAAGGGGTTTTGTAGATTTTTATTCTTATGGGTCACAAATCCAAAGAGATACAGAAAAAGCCGCTCATTAAAAAAACTTAGATGATTTCAACTTCTCTAGTTGAAATACTTCAGAATGATAAAACAAAGAAGGTATGCTCTGTGAAATAAAAAACAATTCAATTATATGTTGTTAAGAGAGCCACTGTGAAAGCTGCTCTTGTTAGTCACTATCAGCAAACACTAGAAAGGGGGTGATTGGAGGCTGGGAGGGGAAAGGGGTATAGCTTAGTTATGTGACATGCTATTGTCTTTAAGGTGGGTGTCGCTGGGGTTCCCTGTGACCTGTGGGCTTGCTGGCTATTTGACAGTCTGCCAGGACTGATGGTGAAGAAGTGACAGACCTGCATGCAGCAATGGGCAGAGCAGAATAGGGGGTATTTGCGGGTCTTGAAGAGGACTTGGACTCTTGTGCGCCGTTGTTGCCAGAGGAAGCAGGCTGGTAGACGATAATAACAATTAATTCCTGTCCTGGAAGCAGGGCTGAGTTTGTTGCATCTCCTCTGTCAGGAATAATGCTCTATTATCGACTTCAGCGCCTGCTAACTACTCTGGCAACAACGGGCACAAGAGTCCAAGTATCTTCAAGACCAGCAAATTACGTTTCCTATTCTGCTCTGCCCTAGCAGCATGTCTGCCATCTGCACGGTCATACTTTGGTTTGCAATAACAAGCAAAAGTTACTTTGTGATGGACACGGCATATAAACCTGGGTTAAGTGAGAATGTGGTTTCGAAGGGTTTCTTCTTTTATGAGCCTGCTGAGAGCCAATAAACATTGTGGCCCATCTTCATCACCAGTCAGCCTTTCCGTACCTACATGCAGAGGACAAAAATAAAGAAGTGTAATCATGTTAAGACAAGATGCAACCTTCCAGAAAATACTATGTAGAAGTTTCTGTTCTCGTTATTAACATCCCAAGTTGGTGGCAGCAATGCACTACTGTGGGGGAGCACATTAAAGAAAGCTGAAAATGGCACAGATAACAACTAACATATTAGCTAAAATATGAATCTGCTGCTTTGTATATTTTAAGTGGTTTCTATGAAATTACATTGAAAGAGTGATGATTCGTTTACACACTGTGGAGTTGTTATATTTTGGAAAGAAAACTAATAATCTCACCTTCCTGAAATTCTGTTCGAATCCTTTTTGCCAACGTTGTAACAGAATAATCAGTCACTTAACACATTCACCCTTCCTGCAAGTTCACTGCCGCTTACCGTAAAGTCTGTTTTTATCTGTTTATTTAATGGTATCTTCAGCCATCACTACTTATAACCTAAATACAAAACCTGTTTAATGATTTACTCGCTAGGTTTTAATGTCGTTGTATTTTTCGTAACAATCAACCTGGCCTCTCCTCTTTGAATGGTACTTCATAAATTTATCTGTCACATAGCATCTAAGATTCCTGGTTCTACAGCCTCTTTGTCTGTCATGAAATATATTTTACTTAATTGTTAAAAGGTACGTTTTAAGCTGGTTAATCTTTGACTTATTTATTGAAACTTTTCAGCACATTCCAAATTCTAAGTTGCTCAGGAAGAAGTTGATTTAAATTATTATATTTTGGTCTGATTAATATTTCATATTCAAAAAAGAAATCATTGTTTGTAAGCCTTTAGCCCACGACAGCTTGTAGGAAGTGCCATGCATGTACTTGTGAATCTTTGTGGGGGGAAAAAGGTGGGTGCTTAACATTTATGAAAATAAGAAAACATATGTGTACATTAGCTTAGCTATAAATGAAAGCAAGGTATGTTTTGAGGTGAAATATTCTTTAACTTATTCACTACCATCTCTTGAAATATAAATAAGCCATATGACTATTTTTCAGTCCAGTGATGTTTAAGAATAAAACTTGTACATTTCTTCCTAGCACCATAGTCCACTTGGTTATGCTAGATTTACTGCCTGAGTACCGCAGCTATGGGTAAGGCACCGCAGTTGCATCTGGCAAAACAGGATGAGATACAGCACAGTTTATCATCTGAAAGTCATGCTTTAGCAGTGAGATTGGGGCAGGTTGCTCCTGGGTTATTCTGTGTCCCCAACTGCCTGGAGGTATGAGAGTGAAGTCAGAATTACATTACTCAGGTGAGAAGTGCAGTAAGTACCCCTGAAGTACATGAGCTTTGTGGCTGCTATGAAAAACAAGTTTTATCCAGGAGAGAAACAGCTTGGTCCCCACACACTGTGTTTTACTAGACCTGGTATTTGATGGCAAGGCATAACAGCCCCAATAGTCCAGAGTGATGTTGTAATGTAAGTGAAACATCAGTGCTTTCACACTAAAAATTGAATCAACCGTTGCTAAAATGCAGCATTCTGGAAAAAAGGAATTTTAGTCTTAAGTTTTCAGTGACAGTGACAAATGGTGTAGTCTTTGTTCCTGTTTAATTTACTTCTCTTTCACATAAATTGTGCTGGTGATGCAAAGCTAAGTCCAGGTATTTGCAATGTGCTCTACTTACATGTATCTCAGCAGAATGAAGGTATGTGAAACTAATGGTGTATTTGAAGCATTTGAATTTCTTTGCAATTCTTTATCATTGGTCCTTGATGAATTGTTTGAATGTTATAGAATGGTACATGGTATCATAAAAACACAAACAAAACCACAGATTTTAGACACTGGAGGACAGGTCTGTTGATTCAAGCCATTGAATTCTTCCTCCTTTCAATACTTGACATAATAAAACTATTTAAAGGTAGATTTTTTGACTAACAAAGGAAACCACACTGCATGCCAACTTGGATCCTCTTAGCAAATGAAAAAACACCATCCACCAAAGAATAAAGCTGTGCATCTTCTTAAAAAATACAGGTCTGTAATTCTCAATTAGGGGTAATGGTGCTCTGATCTTTCCCTCCATTTTAAGAAAGGGAACATCTGTGGTGTTAGACCACAGCCTAAAACAACACAGCAACATTTTTGAGCACTATAATACTGTAACACTGTACCACAGCATTCTTTCTATTTTATTTTCAAGCAATCAGGCTTTATTGTATAGACTTCAGCAAACATATAAAACACTGACAATCAATCTGCTTATGTGAACCAAGACCAGAGAAAAGAACCGAGCATTGCTACATGTAGACCTCCATGTGCAGACTCCATGGGAAAAACAAGAAAGGTGTTACCAAGACTTGGAAGTGCCTGTCTGGTGGTGCTGAAATCACCAGGACTGCTTCTGCAGGGTCAGTTCCAAGGGAGTGTTTGCAAAGGGTCTGCTTAGGTGCCCACAGGTATTGTGGGAAAGGTGCTGGAAGGCAGCTCCATGAGAAAAAGCCATTTAGGATATGAAAAAAAATCCACTGCAATGCATTAGGAGTGGATGGAAGGCATCTTATTTTGAAGGCTGAAAGTTAAACCTCGACCAGCATAAATCAGTTGCTGATGCCTCACTTGCAACTGGAAAACTGTAATGCATTTTCTTTGGTTTGCCCAGAAACAGCACTGCATGCCAAACTGCAGCGTGAACTTCAACACTCAGTTCTAAGCTCTGGAAAAAAAATGTGTGTAATGGAAGCACCAGCACACCACAACGGTTGTCTCAGAACTAACGTCTGATACTGTCATATTGGAAGAGCTTGGAGGTGGAGTGGAAGGTTGTTGTGGGGGCAAGAAAGGATGGGAATGGGGGGAAGTTTTCTGCAAATGCATATTTGGCCTTTTTGATGCTGTAAGATGGTGAGATTTGACCAATGGTGTATTTGAATGGGGATTGTGAATATAAACATGTGGATTTCCTTTTCTGAGTATGTAAAAGAAGAATGCAAGTCTGGTTTTGTATTTAACTGATTGTGGCTGAAAGGGTAAGTTAATAACGCTACTGTCAAGCAGGCATGGTAGCAGTGTGCTTTATGCAAACTTTCGCCATCCATCTGTTCCCTTCTTTGAATCCAATGGACGAAAGGGCTCCTGTTAAAGAATTCTGCTACACCGCAAGGGAACTGGTGCTATGAAAAGTAGAGATTAGCAGAAATGCATGGAGGCAGTGCTGCTTGGGATTAAGAATAATGGTCTAAATACTAGGATGCTACAGAGCACCCCACAGAAGTGTTACACAAACTGCCCACTCTGTGGCTTTGGCCCATCTGGAAAACTTGAGATGGTGCTTCAAAATCAAATGCTGCTTCAGATTTGTGATTTCTATTAAGTCAGCATTTGGGGGAGCTTTTTCAATCTGCTTCCAAATTGCCAGTCTACCCCAGAAGCCTAGCAGAGTATCAGGCTCTACCTGTATCCAATGTGCAGGA